ATTTTCACCACCTTCATGGCAAAAAAATTCTTCCTAATATCTAATGTAAACTTTGGATACATCAAGACAGAGCCAAGTGGAACAGTGGAACAGCAAACATCAGACAAACTTAAGACATTTACAGATTTCCACATAGCCTCAATGGGGGACAGGGAGAGAAATAAAACCCAAAGTGGTCGCAGAGCACTGGAACTGATACATCCCACTTTTCTAAGGATGTGCATCATGACTGATTGTAAGATTAGGAACACACATCTCCCTCCATACTATCCCATAGCCTCTCCTGTCCTTTCTCTGGTCAAGTGCCTCCCCTGTGGCTCTCTAGTACGATCACAGTAGGGTTGAGCTCATTGCTGGTTTTCCTGCTGCAGAGCTCCACTGAAGTGTTCCTACACTCACTGGTGACACACTTTGACATAGCCTGCAGGCATTAATAATCAGCAAGACTTTACTCCCTAGGGCATTTTTACCCAAACTAGGGTTAAAAATATTCCTGGGAAGGAAGAGGAAGGGAGGAGCCAAACAGACAGTGAGATCACTCACCCGCCTTCCATAGGAAACCAGGGTAAAAACGGCTTCCCCACCAGCTGCTCTTTTTTCCTCTCGAGTCAAGGCTGCCTAAAAACCCTCTCCAAAAATACATTGCAGCAAGTTATGAAGTAATTAGCCAAAAAAAAAAAAAAAAAAAAAAAAAAAAAAAAAAAAAAAAAAAAAAAAAAAAAAAAAAAAAAAAAAAAAAAAAAACAAAAAAAAAAAACAAAAAAAAACAAATTTAGATGCTCATGGTTAGTAGCCGCACATCATGGTTATTGACGATCTGTGATTAAAGAAATGAAAACCACAATTGAGAATTTTTTCAGTGTCATTACAAGGAGCTGTGAGCTGCATGGCTCAGAAGTTGTGCACAAGAAGGAAAAGGATTGATGTAAGTGGATTTTAGCTCTCCCACAGACCCTGTCAGAGGTGACTGTACGAGCACAGCTGGGACAGTGACAGCTGCAATACAAAGGCAGTGAAAGCAAGCAGAAGGCATAAAGAGCCCTCAGGCTAGAGCTTTTGGAGCTGATGGAGGCAAGGATGATTTCGGGCTGTGGTAGCCCCAGCATTCTCATCTGCCGTGAAGAGGACAGGATTTACTTTGGGAAGATCGTTCTGACCTCTGCTGGTCCCCTCAGGCAAACCCAGCAGAAGCCTGGAGGCAGCCCATGAATTCCCAAGGGCTGAGCACATGGGGAAACGCTGACCACATCTGCTCCTACCAACTCATTCAAGGAACACCACTCAGATGGCTTTCCAGTTTACTTGTGCTCCACACTCACATTAAGAAAATTTCGTTTCTAGCCATGAAATTTGCTCCTGGGGCTGCCCAGGTCCTTCCACAAGCCACGTTCCAGCCTCTCTCCCCCTGGTGCTCATCACTCTTACCCTTGGTCTCCTCCCATTGCACAGGCATGGCTGGGACAACTTCCACTGCAGAGCTGCCCTACAAAGGGAAAAAAAGCCATTTCCCTTCAGAACAAAGGGGGAATGTCCCACCCACCAGCTCCTCAGGCTTGCAGACAGTGGCATTTCAGACTGGAAGGAATACTCTCACCAAAAGCTGCCCCTTGCGCTGCAGCTTCCTCCCCATCCCAGCATCAGAAGAAGCAGGGCTGGGAGGTTCTGGTGTGGTTCCCCACTAAGCAGCAGGCACAGTGACCAGAAGAGGCCCTTCCATTGCCAGGAGGAGCTGTGGCCACACAAGTAGACAAAACCACAAGCAATCTCAGCAAAACCAGCGGGTGGCCCCTGCTGGAAGTGGTCACCTTAAGAACACGTCCTAGTCATGTTGAAATGCCTGAGAAGGGAGGCTGCCAACCTGTCTTAGCTTTGCAGTCACCTTTGACATGCACTTTTTTGGAGCACGTGCTTGGCCTCCTTGCCAGAGATGAGTTTTTTCCATCATCTTCCCTCGGAAGCAAATGAGATCATCTCAGGAAGGCACAACTGCTTGTGCTGCTCCTCAGTAGAACCACGTCAGGGAAACTTGATTAAAAATAGATAACAAAGGAAACGCCAGTAAGTCACACCAAAACAGGCAGCAGAAGGAAAGGGAAGCAATTCCTTGAAGCCAGGCTTCAAGGCTGAACATTGTGTTTTTAAAAATTAAAAAGCTGTCTTCTGAATGTTGCTGGCAATTCACAGACTCAATATGGGCAAAACGTGCTCAACAGCCAGCTGAAAGGAGGCTGAAACTTGAATTACATCCCTACCTCCATACAGCAGACACTAGAACAAAACCAAGGCCAGTTTTAAGCAGCCATCAAGTCACAGTTGTGTTAAGCCATAGTGCAAGGACACATTTCCTGCTGGCAGATTCCAGGAGCCTGGGGATAACAGGGACACAGTTTCTCCACAGAAAGGCAGTACTGGAGAGTTGGGGAAGCTGGAGAGAACAGCACACACCATCCCTGGAGGACACTGCACTCGGAAGGGCACACTCACAGCATTCAGGGCTGGGCCAATTTTATCAATTCCAGCAATGAGACACCTCCCGTTTTCAACAGCAACAGCGCTGCTATCTGCACAGCCCTGGCGAGGGCCAGCGGCTCTGGGGACACCTCACAGATGTGCCCACGCCCCGGGTCAAGGCTTGAGCCACCCAGCGTGGGTGCTGCTCCATTGGGCTTGGGCTGGGGAGCTTCTCCAGGCTCTCTGCAGCGAAGGGAAGGCTCTTGCCTGCCTGCCCAGGCAGCACCAGCAGTGACATCCCACACGGACACACTCGTGCAGCCTGGAGTGGGTGTTCCCACGCGGAATCCCTCAGAGCCAGGTGGGTGGGATGGGCGTGTCTGGTCTCCGGGCACAGTGAGCACACCAGCATAAAGCCCACGGATGAAGTGGACGCGGAATGAAACGCGGGCGGACTTAACCATTCCCTTTGGCGTCTTCAACTCTCGGACCACAAGAAAACGACGGCCACAGTCTCGTTATTCACCAGGAATTTATTTTCTAGCACAAAACGGGTTCTGGACTTACCTTCGCGGCCACGCGACGTGGGCTGGTGTCCCGCCCTCCATCACTTCATTCTCCCCCGTCGCTGCCATCAGCCGCTCCCCATCGCTGCCATCCGTCCCCCACGGTTCCCGTCTCCCCCATGGCTCCAGCCGGCCCCACGCCCGTCCCCAGCCGCGCTGCGGCTCTCGGGGCCGGGGGGCGAGCACGGCCACCGAACAAAGCGCGGCTCGGGGGCTCCGCGACGGGACGGCGGAGCGGCACTCTCCTTCCTTCCCCCCGCGCCGGCCAACTCACCCTCCTTGGCTTTCTTCTTCCTGGCCAGGGTCCCGCCGAGCTTGCCCAGGAACGACTCCTCTTTCTTCATCCTGTGCGGCCGCAGCGTCGGGGAGCGCACGGGCGCGGCGGACATCGGCTCTGCCGGGGCTGGCCGGGGGAGCCGCCCGGCCCTGCCCGGTCCCGGTCCCGGTCCCGGCCCGGTCCCGCCCGGCGGCCGAACCAAGTCCGGCAGCGGCGAATCGCCGGCCCGAGCGAGCGGGGCGAGCCCGCGGCGTGCGCTCGCAGCGCCGGGGCGGGCCGGGAGCCACAGCGCCCTGCCACGGCCGGGAAGTCCGCGGGAGGAGGGGCGGGACGGGCCTCGGACACCCCCGGGGCCGGGGGCGGGCACCGAGCCCACCGAGCATCACCTGCGGCCGGGCGGGCGAGCCCCCGCCCCGGAGCGCCTGGACCCGCGCGGGGGCGGGGAAAGGTGGGTGAAAAGCGTTGCCCCGGTGCCAGCACAACCGGACCAGAGTGGTGTTGATTTATTAAAAAAAAAAAAATATATATATATATATATGGATATTGATCTAGTACCGATATCCAACTGTGGCGGACAAAAACTCTCTAACAGTTTAAAGTTAGAAAGTGTGTGTTTATTGTGTGTGGGATAGCTCCCAAATCCACACCGCACCTTCCAGTTGATTAGAGTCCTTTTATCCGTACAAGTATTGAATACCCAAAATACAAATACATATTCATAATTTTGGTACATCCCATTCCCCGCTTTGTATGCTAATCACTCCAAAAGCTATTAAGCATGCGTAGTTTGTTCCTTGAAATGGGTCGGTGGTCCCTTTCATGGGGAGGGGTCCCAAAATGAGGAAGTCAATGAAGTTTTCCTCGTTCTGACCTTTCTACCTTGTCAATGCAAATATGACAAATGAGCTCTTGGTAGAACTCCCTTTCCTTGTCTTCAGTTGGTTTCAGAACATAGGAGGCCCACAATTGTCTTATGTTCCTAAAAGCTATTTGTCAGTTTCTATATCCTTCATTATAAACCCAGATAACTAAACGTTGTGCTGACAAGCAATCAATTATTAATTAACTCCTAACTCTTAACTTCATCAAGGCCTACTCATTTATTTTAATTAACTCTAGTAAGACTTATTTCTAACTAAAATCTTAGCTCCTCTAAAATCTCTAAATTCCTCAAAATTCATGTTTCAGTGTTAGGCTTGAAAGTAGGCGAAGATCAAACTTGAAATGACATCCTTTCTTAAGAACAGATTTATGTATTCCACATTTTGCAACACAAGCTTTGTGCTCCTGCCAGCAGTGTCCCTGTCAGCAGCCCTTGCCCCAACAAAGGACTGCAGTCAAACCAATCCAGCTTGGCTCGGGAGCTGCACACCCAGCTTATATGGGACAGATTTGCAGGCTTGACCTGACACAGAAACAACACTGCAGGACACATCCACAGCAGAATGTAGCAGAGAGAATTTTCTGAATGGGTTTCACTCAAGATTTAACCCGAGCTAATCCCCTCTGTCACCCAGACCCATTCTTGTCCCTCACCTCCAGCTGCTTTTTTTTACAGTCACTTTGGCAACTAAAAGTAAAACGCAACAAACAAAAACCGAAATAATCCAACCCAAGCCTTCCAGTGTGACTGAGCACCAAGTCACACAAGGGCAAGTGCTAGCAGAAGGGAAGTGAAGGGCACACATGACCAGGCTGGAAAGGCTCTTTTGAATGGCAGTGCACACTCTGTGAACTTTATTGAAACTGCTTCTTTGGAACAAACAAATACATTTCATTTCCTGCAACAACAGTATGTTGCCTGTAGCAGAGGCTTTTAGACTACAAATAAGAATTTTCCATGGGGTGGGATCAATACCAGTTAAAAAAACACTTTGCAAAATTAAATCATTAGCAAGGATGTCAACTGCATTCTCCTGGCATAAGCCACATGAGACCTTTTGCAAGTGCAAGCTCCATTTTCAGTTCATCAATAGCCTGAATTCATACAAAACCCACACATTAATGTTGATGCCAAGCAGGACTAGTAGATATTTTCATTTCATAAAATGCATACTAAAGTCTTAGATTACATTTAGCTTTAAGGCAGTGTGGGAAAAGCATTTTATCCAACCTCTGGGGGGAGAAAGCCCCATAAAAATCGATCAGTTCTCATACCAGATTTTTTAAAATGAAATTGCAATCAGAAAATGTGTGAGTACAAACTTCGAGCAAGAAAGCAAACAAACTGGTTCATTTACACACAAAGAACAAATGGTAAATAAAACTTCACTGACTCCAGTACAGCACTCAAGATGTAACCTCTTTAATTAAAGTGTCTTTTAATAATTGAAATTAAGCCACACAGATAGATCCATTCAGCTCTGACTTTGAGGTCCTATTTATTTATAATGTGTAGCTAAGCAGAGAAAGCATTCAGCCTATTGCAAAGAAAAAGGAGGCAGAGTTGTTTGAGACAAGGGAGAGCCCATGGCAACAGTAAGTCAAATTACACTTCAGAAACACCAAAACAAAACCTGGAGCCTTTTTAAGACTCATCAAACAAATAGGGCTCTTCTAAACAGGAAATGAAGAGCTCCCACGGCTGCTTTGATCAGTGTTAGGGTGCAGTGATTTAACTGGCTAATGGCCACTAACAGGGACACAGCTGCTGCTGCACCAGGTCAGTGGCCTGCAGCTCGCAGCAAGCCCAGCTACAGGGTTTAAACTCTCCATAATTAATGAGATACCAGCCCTCTGCAGCCAGAAAATGCTCCGTGGTACCTTCCTCTCATTAGGGATGAGATTCCTATTTATCTCTTTAAGAATATATTCAATATTCCAATAGTTAAGTGAATGCTCATTAAAATAAACTGCCAGAGCATAAACATGTCATTTTAGAGAATTACACTAAAAAACTAAGCCTTGTTTACAATTTGTTTTTATTTTCAGTGCTGAACTGCTACTTTAATATTTAGCAGAACATTTAAAGTTCTGAATCCACATCTGCTCATTTTGACATTGCTCACTTTCTTCTTGATAGAGGTGTTGCTTCCTTTATTTTAACCTCATAGCACTTTATAATGCTTTCAAAATTTTAGCCCACCTGAGGTTACTGTAATTAGATATTTCACAAAGTAACAGTGACATTAAATATATGGTCTCTCTTCATCAGATATTGGAGCAAGGCAAACCCAGCCACTTAAACCAGCAAATCATTGCAGTCTTGCTCTATTATAACACCACCTGCACTGACTTTGGATATAAAGACACAAGACACAGTTAATTTTTCTTCTTGGTCTGACAGATAAATGAAAATGTGTTTGGGTTTGCTGGTGTTCGGGTTTGATTTGTTGTTTGGGTTTGTTTGGTTTTTTTTTGGGGGGGGGCAGGGTTAATAATGTTATTTTTTAAATATTGAGAAATGTACCACCTAACTGATGCCACCGATTTGCTTCACAGTGTGTTCCATTATGTATTCTATTTACCTGAAAAGCTTGTACAAAAGACCATTTATCCATGCAGACGTTTGGGTTGCATTTTTTTGCTTAACAAGAGAGGAAAGCACAGGATACACTCAGCAAAGTGTCTCATCCCAATTACAGTGAAATAATCCAACATCATTGCAGTTGCTAACAGCAATTTAGCACCACTCTCACAAAACATATATCCACTATCTCAACAAGTTTGCCATGGTTGAGAAGCTGTGCAGAAATTCTCCTGGAAAAGATTCCTACTGAAGCTGTGGCTGCAAACTCCAGCCACAGTTTTCTGTGGGTTTTTTTTTGTTTGTTTGTTTTTGTTGGCTTTTTTTTCTCCTGAAAACAAGAATAGCAGAACTGTAGTGTACACTCAAATTCTGTAATTTTGGGATTATTTTCCTTATGCTCTCTCATACAAAGTTTAGGATAATCTTTTAGATATCTGACCAACTCCTTTATAGTCCCACAAAGGACTCATGGTGTTTTCTTTCCCCGTAACATCACAGTAAAAATTCACACTTTTTCATGTGAGTGCTCACCCAGTCCAGAGAAGAGGGAGCCAACCTGACCTCCCCTCACTTTTCAGTGTTTGATCACACATGGGAAAGTCTTGGGATGCTTCCCTCAACAGGCACAACAGGGACAATTGTTTCTGCACAAATGCCTGACAAAACCAGCAGGTATTTTGCAAAGGGAGGAAGTACTAAACTTTAGCTGCTACACCCCTGCAAAGACTGGCAGCCAGATCTGTGTGAAAAAAGGCACAGAGTGACAGCAAAGGTACTTAGGCTGAAGCACACTTCTGTATGACTGAGGTCAGCACTGGAATTTATTTTTAAAGCATATATTTTCAAATACAATATGCCCTTACTATGGCAGCAAACCTGCCCCTTACATTCTCACAACCTCCCAGTTTCCTCTTCCATCTTCACCTAAGCCCCCCAGAAATTTATTCATTAACAGCACCCGAGAATACCAGATCTTCCAAATATAAAGAGCAATTTCAACTTTTTTATATAAGCAGAACAGCTGGAAACCACCCACGGTCTTAGAAGTGGTGATGGAAATATTTGCCATACTTCTGGCATGCTACTGGCACCTTCTCACAGGCTCGTGGGTGCCCTGACACATCACTGAGATCCTTCAAACCTTGTCCCAGAACAATCCTCTCCTCCCCAGGCCTCCCTCAGCCCCCAGGAAGGGCTGCAAGCAGTGACTTGAGACCACAGCTGAAGGGACTCTGCCAGCCTGGTGGGACCTACAGCCTCAGCACTGCTCACATGAGATCAGGAGGCCACAAGCACATTCCAGGTGTGCTGTTTGGGGACACTCCTTGATACCTTGCTGTCTCTAACAGTGGCATGCCTGAAAAGCAAGAGCATCTTCACTACTCCACAGGTAAATGATATCCAAAACTGTCCATTTAAACAAACACCAAGCTTCTGAATCACAGTTCTGACTGCAGCTCTTACTCCTTTTATCCTTTCAACTCTGGCCAGAAACACAACCACAAAGAACATGGATTCAGATCTGCCCAAAGCTGCTCTCCAACTGAACACTATGGCAGCTTTTACTGGAATTCTGATTTCTACCTTACCCATTTTAAGTATCTGGGCCTCTGCAGCAAAATTTAAATGGAAGTGTATTAATCATACGTTATTCCATAGAAGCAACTACATAATCCAGATGCTTCTTCCAGAGGAATTCAGACATACTTTCTGTACTGGATAGCTTTTGTGCACTTGTGGTATGCCATAAGGAAATGTTACTTTTCAGCCTAGTGCAATGCCAGTAGGAAAAGTGATGCACATGGAGCCTCATGGAATGTGATTTTGCTCTCCTTATCCAACTGGACCATTCTCTGGTGAGTGGCACAGTGAGGTCTGTGAGATGTGCTCAGAAGATCTCTTCAGCCTTCAGCAGTTTCTTCCATTCCTCCCTTGATGCTGACAGAGTTCTCTCAAAGCTTCATTGTAGCCTGGCTGGTGTGTGGTGTGCACACCGAGTTTGGGCTGAGCTTGGGGTCTTGTGTCACAATAAAGTATGGCACATGAGCAAACACAGTGTGCACAAAATAGAACTCTTAAGGCAACAGAATGCAGCTAACTTTGAACTCCTAGAAGAAAACCCTAACAGTATTTTAGTATCTAAACATTCACATTAAAAATATTTTTATGCGTCAAAATGTCAATAGTGCTGGAAAAAACTAACAACATTTGTTGACATTCTTAACATAGTTTCATATTTTATCTCATAACAACAAAAGAATCATCAAAAATGCTAGCTTAAATATGTACTTGCTACAGTATCTTTTAGATAAACACACTGAAAAAAGTTTTTTTATATCAAATTTTGCTATTTGAAACAGCTGACTTCTGTCATTCACAGCATTTTGAACATCTGTAAGCCTAGTGCTGCCACTTTATAAGGGGAGAAGGATGTTTAATCAAGCAGAGCTCTGCAAATCCAGACAGTCCAGTTTCATATTTTGGAGAATTATCAACTAAACCAGATTAATTACTGTGTTACACCAACAGCAATACATACCAATGCTAAAGCAATGTATAAAACTGTGTTCTCTTTTAAAAAGGGTGGAGTTTGAGTGCTGACTTGATTGGGAATGAGCTTTCATGGCAGTCCTGACATATTCAGCAAAGTCAGGCAGAGCACCATCATGTCCAAAGCTGTCTTTAGCTGAGCAGAAATAAAATCAGTTTAACAGCCACGTATTTCTGTTCTACTCCCCCAGAATCTTCTTTGTATTGTGATTTTAAACCTGCCAACACTTAACAACAAAAAAGAGTGAATGTAGAGACAGGGAAAGTCCAAGTTCACATTCTCTCAGCATGACAACACAGGGTTGATACACATAAAAACCATCAGTATGCAACTACCTCCAAAGATGTTAGGACCAAAGTAGTGAATAAGTCTACCCTTATAAACTGGATTATACCCCAAGTGATAAAGTCAGAGGTGACTTGGAGATGAAATTAGCATCTCAACAAGTCAGAAGATAGACACAAAGAGAAACCAGGTAATTCTATACATTTGTATGTCTGGAGACACTTTTTGCAGCTGCTACAAAAAGCTGCTTTTGCAAGACATAAATCAACAGCTTTGCTGAGAGCATTAAAACACTCAAAGTTCAGAGCCCTGAACCTTTCAAAATTATAATTTTAGTATTTACTATGCTAGACAGATGACTTGAATTTTTACACAATTCAGATTTTAGGCATTTAAACAGGTGATTTATAACAGTGAAACATACTCAAATCAGAACATTTTGATTCATTTAGAACCATTAAACTGGTATAATTTTTGACTTGTAACAGCTTTTTCAAGGACTTGTGGTTGGAGAAGGGAAGGCTGTGCAGACCAATAAAACTCTAATGATATGAGCCATATCCAAGAGCCAGTATCTGACAGAACTCTAATACTTCAAGAAAAAAATAATAACTAAAAGGTGTAAGATAGACTCCTACAAAGACTCTCCCATCTTTGATAAGAATCAGAGGTACAATGAACCTTTAGAGCATAATTATTTAATGTAATTTCTTGTGGAGTCCAAGAGGTAAATCACTCAGCTGTGTATCTGCATTCCAAGGAAAAAGGACCATTTCGAATTATATTATAGTCTTCATTTCATCTCCAAAGCACAATTTCATTCCGTGATGAAAAATATTTCTGTATTATAGAAATCTTATTCCTGCTCCAAACTGAACACCATCACATATCCTGAGAAGAAACAAACAATAAAAAATGTAAGTGATATATAAATTACAAATGAAATGAAAATCAATTCTCCCCATCTCCAAATTCCCCAAATTAACTGACGAAGGTTTTTTAAAATAAATGTTTTGACAATCTGTCATCTCTATGGAGAATTTACATTTCCAAATAAAGCCCATAATTTTGAAATTGCTACTATACATTCACATTGCCCACAGAAACAATCCTGCTGCTGTATGAAAGACTGGACAATACTCACAGATAAGAACACGCCTCCTGAAGCTTTTTATTGCATATTATATTTCCTTGATGCAGGATAACTGGTTGCTAACAAATTAATTTGTTATTTTTTTCTCTTTATCTATAAACTTGTTTTCATTTTTCAAGCAAAGCCATTAAACTAGGTATTTACCAAAGACAGCAAATGAGGTATTTATCCAATCATTTGGGTTTAGAAGGCTTAAGAACACCCCACAATCTGTTTGAGTGATCACTTCTCCATGAGAAATGAAGCTGCTGCACAGCTATTGGAATATTTCAACAGCTGCTCTCAAGGTAAATGAACTGTGGCACTTGGGAAGCAAAGTCTTAACCCAGCTGTGAAACCCAGGTGAGTAAAGTGGGCTGGGAAACAGCACCGAGACGTCTCTGTTGGTATGGACTAAACAAAACCACAAGGCACAAGTCTCTCTGAGACAGCAGCCAGCAGTGCAGGGACTCTGCAGAAGCTGGTGTAGCACACCGACCTGTCTCCAGCCTGTACTCCCATGGGGAAGCAGTAGTTGAGCTCGAGCCTGGCGATGTTGCCCAGGCGCAGCACTATCCCCGCGCCGTAGGACCAGCGGATGCACTCTGCCAGCCTCTGCAGGTGCGCCCTGGGACCGTCACCTGCAGCCAAACACCAAGGCATGAGCAGCACAGCAAGAGAGCAGAACCAGAGTACAAATACTGTGATGCCAGCTGGATTCTTGGCTGGTCTCTATGTCCCACTATAGGGCACCTACTAGCAAGAAGAAGGAAATGAGTATTAAAGATTTCAGTGTTTTTACTGCTCTTTTCCAGTGCTTGAAGGAAGCCCACAGGAAAGATGGAGAGAGACTACTGACAAGAGCCTGGAATGACAGAACAAGGGGGCATGGCTTCACACTGATCAGAGAACAGGTTTAGATTGGATATGAGACAGAAATTCTTCCCTGTGAGGGTGCTGAGGCCCCGGCACAGGTTGCTCAGAGAATTTTTTCCCATCCCTGGAACTGCCCAAGGCCAGGCTGGATGTGGCTTGCAGGAACCTAGGATAGTGGAAGGTGTCCCTGCCCATGGCAGGTGGGAGAACAAGATAAGCTTTAAGGTCCCTTTCAACCCAAACCATTCTGGGACCCTATGCTATGCTACTATTTTTAAGTTGATTGAAGTATCTCGTTCCCATATGGATGCCACGTTTCTTACATCAAGTGAAGCAGACATCAAATATTACTATATTCTACAACTGACTGAAATCATATTGAAAAGTCATACATTAATATACTGAAATGTATCCTGAATAGAGTTAGAGATGGGAGGAAAAAGAATCCTCTCAGCTACCACACCCTCATCTAATGCCACCACTTTTTCTTTAGTTCACCCAGTAAACACCAGAACTCCACTAAAATATCATCAAAGACATTAAAAAAAACATCATAGACACTACCATTACTCTCCTGGCTCTCTTTCCTACAAGTTGTGCTGGAAATCATGGAGAGAGCTAAATAAACTACTGGCAATCTGTCAAATATAAAAGCTAAAAGCAGCAGGTTTTTGATAGGCAACAAAATATGAGTGAACACACACAGAACAACTCTTCTTTTTGCTTTTATATGAAGACAAGAGGGTTTTTTATTCTGTTGAATCTTACCATAGTTAAGATTGCAGAGATTTCCAGCATTAAGGAAGAAATGTGTTCGGAAAAGGTCTCCAAACCCTCCACGGCCAGGCCGGAAAGGGAGAGGAGTGTAGAGATGCACCCCTCCAGCCCAGTAGGCTTCTCCTCCCAAATAATCACCTGTTTGGCCAAAATGTTGGAATAAAGGCATTTACTGTGGAACATATTAAAGGAATCACTTGTTAAAGGTACAAAAACACATACACAAGTTGTTTTACATTCCATAATTATATTCCACTTCTACCCTTTACAGCTCTTCCCATTTGCTTCCAACTCGCTCCAAACTCATCACTATTAGTTTGAAAAATTAGAACTTCCACATTTCTTTAAACCTTCCAAGGGAAGTGCACTTTTCTTCCTTCCCTCATCAGAACAGCCTGAGGCATGGCAGTTCATCAGAATTACCTCCTGATCACCTCTGCAATACTTCCCTTGGTAATAAAAATGGGCAGTTGATACAATTGAACTATTAACTTCAAAACAGACTGGATATTGAATCCACTGATAACAGCAGAGTAAGGAATAGAACTGAGGAAACTCCTGGCACTCCAAACACCTTTCCCCTAAGCTACATGAACATAGGCTGGATCAAACAAACTGTTGCTATAACCATGTTTTGGGAACTTTTCCAGCTTGAAGGTTGCTTAATAATTAAAATGACACACTGGAAGTGTGCAAGTTTGAACACACATGTAGTTTATATAATTAGTAATTAATCACAGCTTAACTAAGAACTATCTGGCTTTATCCCATTGTGAACTGATCTGTAACAGCATATCAAAGCCATAACACCTCTTTAAAGTAGAGAATGAGTGTAATCTTTATCAGGTTATACAAAGTTTAAGGACTCTCTGTGACACACAAATATTTACAGTATTGTCAGAGGAGGGGGATTTAAAAAGTGTCAGACCTTCACTCTGGGGTCCAATGCTGTACATACTGAATCCACGCACACTTGTTGGTCCACCAAGGTAAAACCTAGTGAATATAGATAAATTTAATTTAATGCTTCACTTAAAGGTGCCTTTGTAACAAGTTTAGTAATGTAATCTTTAAACACCAGCATTAGAAGGCAAAATTGGCTACAGAGTGAATAGAGTCACAATATGGCTTTGTGTCTGAATAAATCTATGCCTGATACAGAATTTTGCAGGTTTTAAATACCATTTTGCAACCATAAATATGGGTAGGCAGAGCTACTACACAGCAAATTATAAATTTTTACCAGCCCAATATGAAAATGGCTTGAGTATGAACATGCAATTACAGCTAACTACAAACATTTTATTCTCCTTAGAACTACTACTGTTTTTCTCTTGTGCAGAGTTTTCTATGTACGATACCTCTGTTGCCTGTAAAAAAACCCCAAACATTTAAAAAGCTTGCCTGTCAGCTATACTGGATGGCCTGTCTCCAATAGGTACCAGCATTCCACCCCAGAATGATGCTGAAACAACCTTTGGAGAGAAAAACAAGTTGTTTATTAGCAATTATTCCTCAGGCAGAGCCCCCATCATTCTCTCAGAGTTATAGCTCCTCACATCCTGTGGATATCACACCCTGTATGCCAGATTTGCAAGAGGATTTTCAGGAAACTCTTGATGGCTGCTGCCCTCTTTCTTTTATGCAGTGCTGTGCCTTGAAAACGTCAATATAGCACATTTGAACCAAATGCTACTTCAACAACAGCTTAACAGAGCACTCAACTTCATCCAGCACCTCTTGTCTTGAGAATTTTCACGTCTTGGATTAAGACAACACTGCTGCCATCAATTATTCCTGGCAATTTGAAACCCACAGGAGACTGAGTCCAATAAGAAGCTGCCAAAAATGTACAATTATAAATTAACCTTATAATTACATGAAACCACGTTCTGTGACTCACTATACTGACATCAAATAAATATACGGAATTACTCTTTATCTATTAAAAGTAATTCTTGCAATTCAAGTCACTGAAATAAGTAGATTTAATCATTTGCTTGCTGCCTGTGTGCCAGGTAGAAGTATTACTGATAGACAATGATATCTACTGTCAATACCTTTAGGATAGAAATTATTGTAGCCCCTGACTTTTAAATCTTCATGGTACAAGGTGCTGTTTAATTCCCCATTCAGCTCTGAGAAGAATTTACTGCACTATCGCCATGTGATAAAAAACTTATTTCTAAATTCAGTTAGAAATATTCCTGGGATATGTTGAAATCCTTATTTCAGATTTTCAGTATTTCAATTCAAAGTCCTATTTCCACCTCATACTAAATCAATGCTGTCGAAATCAGCCTTCCCATTTTTTCCCAATAATCTTAAACACAAGAAACAATTACATGCTCTGATACCAAGATGAATAGTTATATATTCGACATTTCAATTAAAAATGAAATTAAACCAAGATTATACGAATAAGAATTATAAGAATATTCGTGAAGATTTAAAACTCTTAAGCTTTTCAAAAACTTCCAAGGTTTTTGAAAAATCCCTCCTAAGGAAGACCACAAAGCACAGACATGACCAACATCACTTCTGGAAGGAAAATCATTCTTATGGATAACTGTGAAACAAGTTCTCTCCAAAGTTTCCACTTTTCAAGTGATCGTGCACAGCAGGAACGTAAAGTTAAAAACACAGATAGTCAATTTCCCAGAAAACAGAATCAAGTGATCTAATCCAGCAATTTTTCAGAATCTTTTTCCTAATTCATAGTGGGAAATAATCGTAAGACATAGGTTTAATAGCCCTATAAAAACCTCAGGTCAATTACTAATGTATCTTTAAAAAGTTTACCGAATCCCAGAGAAGTTGCTTATTCAACTGAAATTCAAAATCCTCTTTCAGAAAGCTCACATCTCCACCTACATAGCCAGCCAACTCCTGCAAAGACAAAAATTTATGGAAGTTGCAACAGGTGTTATATGTTTCTTTCCTCTAGAAGTTCAGCATGTCTGCATCAGCAGAGGCAGTGGGTTTTTTTTACAAGAAATACAGAAACACTGGCATGCTGAGGCAGCTGGTTTTTGGACTGAGCCTCAGAATAATGAGTTGCATTTTTTTCCTTTTCCAAATATTAAACCAAACTATTGCTTTCCAAGACATTTTGTAAATGAAGGCAAAATAGCATGGAGCTGGAAAATGCAGCATGCGAAATCAAGACTGTATTTTCCTAGATCTGAGAAGATTTCATGTGGTGAAGAAGGGCATGACACAATTTGTTATTTTCCACTCTTATGAAGTGACTGAACTAACTTAGTCTTAGAGGCTGGATCTAACAAATTACACAGTACCTAAATCCTGACTTGCAACCACTTTTCTCACTCACAACAGTACACTGCTGCTTATTTTTAGTTCCAGTGGCATTTCAAATCTGCCTCTAAAGCATTAGAGAAATTAATGCTTCTGAAGTATTACCTATAAGGCAGAAAAGCCAACTTTTAGAAAGGCTCTAACTGTAACAAGAGGGAAAAACATTTTCTCTACCAAAATGATACAGGCATATGTCTTGGAGAGTTATTTTTACCCAGTCTTTCATTTTTAATTCTCAGACATAGAAATTATGTAAGTAGCAAACAGGACTACAGCTTGGCAATCTGCATGACAGTGTTAAAAAAAGAAGGGCTAATTAATACCCACTGAAAGTGTGGTGCAAATACTGTCAGGGATATTGTCTTTCAGCTAATAAATAATATAATGCTGATGGAGAGGCTGTGCTCTTTAACTAATGACATACAAATGAAAATTTTCCACCATAAAAAAAAGTTTATTAGGCTTAAAAGGCACTCTGGGTAAACAGAAAAGGTAATTACCAGTCTGCATTGCCTCCTAGTCAATTTTAGATTTAATTTCTAACTTTAGACGTTGTTAACATGAACAACAGTTAGATAAATTAAGACTTATTTGAACACACAGATAAACCCCAATAATAGCACAAATGATTTAAAGCTACCTGATTAATTTTCAGCAAAGCACCGCATTTTGGCAAGATTGAGGAGTTCCGGGAATCAATTACCATGGCATGCTGAAAAGAATAAAAAAATTTCGGTTAGGTTCTCATACCTGATGACTCAAAGTCACTGTGTTTTTAAAATAGTATCATGCAAAAGCCTTACAGAGAGAGAAGATTTTAGAGAGTGTCCACTTTCCTCTCGAACAGAAAAGGATGCTGTTCTAGCAAGGCAGCCAAGCTCTCTCCACACACCTTCCCACTTCAGTGTGTGATTGGTCTTCCAGATGGGAAACTAAAATAAAGAATTGAGAAAGTAATGAAAACAATTGTTACAAAATTAAAATAAGTATTTTTTATATTTGAGTCTATGGCTTTCTTCCCAAACTTCTTGAAGCACACAGAAACCTTTTTCCATTTCAGAGTTATGCTAATTCTGCTCCAGCCAAGAGAGATGCACACTAATTAATCCATTCCAAATGAAAAATATCTTGGATTGGGCTGATACAATAAACTAGGCAGTCAGCCCCCTCTCTGAAATAATAATTTTTTAAAAATTGAAGAAAAACATATTGGCATTTTTATACGGCCAAAATGAGACTGAATTGTAACAAAAAAATCTAAGATGCAAGACTTCTATCATTTTCAAAGCACTGACCTCTTTCAAATAAAGACAAGTCAGCCCTGTGCATGAGTGCTTCAATTATTCAAAAAGTAAACCAAGTATTTTCAAAAGCCCAACTGAAATGTAAATGAAGCATGTGTTATACTCACGCTACACTCACATTAAATTCTGTTGATATTCCTCTGTCTGTTTCTCGAAGAGAGCTCCACGGGAACTGTCCAGTTACTTTGTACACATTAACTGCAAAACTGAAACACAACATTACTGGCAGGTTTGAAAGGGAAACAGGGAAACTCTGAATAACTACAAACATTTAAGAAACCAGCTCTGCTACATCATTACCAGACCCTCAGGAAAGAAAAAATGTAATTCTTACTCAGTGAAAGATCTTATTAATTGTTTTATATTCCTTCACTAAAAAAAGAAGTAGTGAAAAATGCATCCCCTACTTTCTTTCAAAGTTTCCAGGCCGTGGCTTGAAGAAGGACAGGCCATATGAAGTTTCCTTTGTTCCATAGGAGAACTGGAAGGTCACCTTTTCTGCACGTCCAAGGAGATTTGGGAACTTGAGCCCAAGCACCTACAGAAAATAAATAAAAAAAACCCCAAACACTAGACCAACAAACAAAAACCTCCCCACATCATAACATTTTATGTTGTTTGCCGTCTTGCATCTTAATCATATGCTGATGACAATTCAGAGACAACATGAGAATTAGAAATTAAGGTATTTAAAAATACTTCTAACTGAATATGGGTTTTTTCTCAGTTTTCTCTCTGCACTGGCAGCAAAAGCCAACAGTGCAAGTTACAATCAAAACATCAGATTTTTATTGCTGTTTAGTAGCTGCTGACTTCATTTGCACTCTCACTGAGCCATCAGTAGTGATGTTACTTCCAAGAAAATCTCCAAGCCTGCCTCAAAGCCCTGGAGAACAAATCTTTGGTACAATAAGGAGCAGCTCTGCAACTGCAGACTCTCCCACTGATCCTCAGGGAAAACTCCTGTCAGGGAGAGTTAATCAGAACCAAAGCAAGGGAAATTATCATGACAGAGCCTCTTCCCTGTAGTTTTGTTTTGAGCAAGTTTTGTTTTGAGCAACCAGACCCGATGGTGGCACAACACAATTCTACAGTTCTCCAGAAACTACTGGAGCAGTTTTGCCTATTCTAATACAAATTCCTTGCATCCTTCAGGCAGCTCTTGGCCCTCTGGCAAAAAAGATGGACACAGACACAGGCACTATCACTGTACTACTGTTGTGTGGTTTATTGGAAAAGAATATTAAAAAACTCCCAAATCCTTACTGCATTTGTCTGACAACTGTTGGAAGCAAACCAGTAACTTGAGCTTTGTAATGATGGTTTTTATGCTATAAAGAGAAAAGGCTTTTAGTATGAAGTACTAGATGTCTAAACTTCAGCTGAATTTAAGGGATTATAATAAATAAATCTATTCAGCTTTGAAGGAAACATAATCTGGGTTGCCAATATCAGTCTATTCAAGTCATGCTTTTAGAGCATTCACAAATTGTACTTCTCTGTGATAAATTAAAATAAATTAGAAGAGGAAGCTGAGCACAAAAAGAGAACACAAGAAGCTTTCAGTCAGCTCTGAGCAGCACTGGAAGCAACAGGTAGGATTCCCTGCTGGTTTCCTTCAGGCCACAACACCCTGGAGCTGGCTCCTGTGCAAAACACCATCACCTGAGTCATGAGGGATCTTATCCAGGTTAAAAATACCCCTAAGAGGAAAAGGATGAGCCCTTTGATCTGGCTTATCCACCAGCCTCAGGCACAGTTGCCCTGTGCAAGTGAGAAGGCAAAAAGGGTGCAGGATGAGCACCTGAAAGCACTACCTGCTCACAGCAGCACTTCTGGTAAAAGCACATTCACAGAGCAGCAGTACAGCTGGTACTTCCTGGGGCAATTGGTAAATATTGTTCACACAAGACTTTAATCTGATGCATCTTTAATTGAGTCATATGAAAACAAGTTCCAAAGTTTGTAGAATTCATGAAAACCTACAGCCCAGAATAATTGATACCAGGCTAAAAGAGAAAAACTAGAAAAATTTCTAAGTCAAATATAAAGCATTTTGACTGAGAAGAAAAATACTTCAAGTATATCTCATAGAAACACAATGCCAAATTCCTTACTAATCTCTTCAGTAGATGAAACATCTTAAATAGTACAAAGAAATAATTCATGAAGTTTCAACAATTAAAAAACTAATATGCTGAGCTGGAAGCTACGAAATAGGCTTTGGCTGAATGAAAGCCTGGCACAAAGGCCTGACAAAGTCTTAGTAAGACTGGATTAAGACTGGATCACCAAATTCCTTGCTAGGCTTGAAACTGAAAGTAAGAGAAGTATCAAAAAGCCTTACAAATAATTTGAAATAATCCGTACCATGCTGCCTTCATTGTTGCCAACCATGGTGTTATAGCTCCCAGTTAACCTTCTCAATTCTGTTACCTCAAAGGTCACATCTAAACCATTTGGAAGGGCATCATCTCCTAAAGAAATAAATGAAGTGCATGTTATCTCTAAAGAGATATTTTAAAAATTGCAGACAGAAGGTTACTTGAATTATTTGAAAACTGAGTTACGGTATAATATAAATCCATGCTACAAAGGGAAATGGTTTGAGAAAAAGATGTTTGGATGTGAGTGCAAATTTGACTCAATCATAGGATTACTGGCTTTAATCATTTCATGTCAATGTGATATGCAATACAAGTACAGGACACATTTTCAAGTTTTCCCCTCACATGTCCCTTGAAACTGTGGATTAAGGAAAGCTTACTGTAATTATTTTAAGTGCTGAAAATTCACTCATGGACCTACACATATATGCAAACACGTGCAAATACATTTCCTTCAAAGGGATAACTGATGTAGATACATCTGTATCCACAGCATACCAACCTGTTCATCTAAAATATATATAAAGTTATACAAGACAGGGAAATATAGGTATGAATATATGAAAATAAAGGTGAGGATAAGTGAGGGAATACACACCTTGGCAGGTATCAATCAGAACATCCACCTGTCTAAAGATTCCAAGACGAAGCAACTTCTCACGAGCTTCATGTGATTTTCTCATCACCTACAGCATGAGAAAAGTAGCTCAGTCATAGAATCAGAGGATATTTGGGATAGAAGGGGCTTTCAAGATAATCTAGTCCCTTTGAGTCGTTCAGGTTAACAAAAAATAATGAGGATAAATTAGTTAAAATGCAGCTAAGTTGTAAAATATTCACAGATTTTGTATCTAAAGACATACATGTGTGCCCCTTCAAAACAGAACACAACCACTTTAACACTTGCTTATGCAGAAATAATTTGAATCCAGAGCATCTGGCTCAATACCTTCATATCTTTCATTAGTTTGCTTCCTAATTACTTTAATAGTTAAAACAGTTATTCAAATACGTGCAAGTAGTTACAACTTATTTAGGGGGCCCCTGCTCTTGACAGAGTTGTCCCATGTCTGAAAGGAGTAGCCAAAGCAGGAAAACAAAGAGAAAAAAAATTAATTAATTTTTTTAATAGCAAGCCTGTTAATCACTGCAACACTTACATCAATGAGATTTTTTGCCTTGAAAACATCAGAGATTTCATACATGATGATGTCATCTTTGGTCCTTCCAAGTCCATCAAAGTGCACATGCTGAACCACCACCTAAACACACCAAATGTTTTACACACAAGTACTGGATTTGCATCTAATAACAAGGATCAGGGTCACCAATGCACAAAAATTATTGTGAGAAACCCTGATGATTCCTAGGGCTAATTCCTGCTAACCTACACCATCAGAAATTACTGCTTTCTAAGATTCTGGGATGTAGTTCCCATAACACGAAAATGAAAGAAAAGAGATCTCTAACACCAAAGCTAACACTGGTTGTAGCATAAGAAACACTGACAGACTGCAGCTGCTGGGGTTTTAATTAAAAACGTTGTATGGACAAAGAAGCAACTGCAGAAATCACAAAATCATTACGTACATAAGAGAATTATGCAGTTAGTCATAGTTAGCTGCTACTTCTTTCATCATCTATACATAAGCGAAGAATTAAAAGAAGAAAATCAAACAAGTGTACAAGCCACAAATATTTAAACTTTATTAAAATCATCTCTACCACAGAAGCAGTGCAGTTTGAAATGCAACTGAAAATCACTCCCATTATGAGGTTTTATACTTACATTTTGATACATAATCACCTGAGACAATTTCATTGTAAAACTTACAGCACCTTCCACTCCAGTACAAATGAAGTACAGCAACTGCATTTCCCTTATTTTTCCAATATTTTCAGTGAATTATAATTTTAGGGGTAAAGGTCAAAAAAATCCTGCTTCAAACAGTTATCAAGGATTGGAACAGACTGCCCAGGGCATTCACCACCCCTGGGGGGATTAAAAACCACATGGATGTGGCACTTTGTTTAGTGCTGGACTTGACAGTGCTGGGTTAACAGTCAAGATTCTGTGATCTTAGAGGTCTTTTCCAACCTAAACAATTCCATGATTCTACACCAGAGTTTGTAAAAGAGACTATGCAGATTATGGTACCTCTATCATAAATATCTGTGTGACTCTGTGCATTCATGTATAATACAACAGAAAAATAACAGCAACCTCCTATTACTGCCCAATTGCTGAAACAAACTGCCAAGGTATTTATTTCTCCCCACAAAATTCAAGATGTTGCACAGGCACTTACATCTTTGTTTTCAAGAATTTCCTGCTTGCTCTCAGGTTCAACTTCAACCAGTTCAGCTTCCTCTCCCAAGGCACCAAAGTCTGGCCCAGCCATTGGAAGAGGCTCCAAGCTCTGAAAGCATAAAAGAAAACTGCATTTAGTAGGGTACATGGATTTGTGATTGTTACCTTTTGTAAATGAGAAAAACCCATGGTTCTCAACATCAAATCCTAAGGGAAAAAAGCAAAAGACAAAATGAAAAAAGCAAAAGCAAAATTAATTACCTGAACACTTGACACCTACCTGCTTGCTGAAATTTATCACAAGAGCTAAACAGCTTCCACATTGAATGATTTCTGAAAAATACTCTGCATTCTTTCAAAAAAATAGCCTTAACTTTTAAGACAAGCTTTTTATGCAAAAAGATGAATTCCACCTTCTTAAAAAAAAAAAAAAAAACAAAAACTAAAAACTCAGGCTGTCACTTCTCTAGTTTGGGTTTTAGGAGGCAGAAGACTATGAATGTCAAACAATTTTAAAAGAGGGTGTTCTCAGAATGTTAGTTTGCTTTGCATGTATTTGCCTGCCTTTATATTTCAGTATTTCTTTTAGGGGTAGACTTTCAAATATGGCTTGAGAACCTCAGGTTCTGACCATCAGAGCCAAACACATTAATGAAACACTGCATGGCTTTATTTACTACACCTGAAAGAAGACTTATCAGAATAGCTGCTTTCCTGAAGAGCAAATTGTTGTTGCATATCAAACTCCAGTTAAAGGAAGACAAAAGCTTCTACCACTGCCACAAATTTCAGACAAGTGTGAAACACTGTGTATCCACACAATATTGTCTAGCAGTTCACACCACAGAGAGGGACACAAAACAGAGACTACAAGAAAAAAATCTTGAAACAGAAATTGCATTAATCATGGTATTCATATACTCTAGAACCTTAACCAAAGGCAGCTCCCTGCAGCTGTTCTTCAGCCTTAAAACTGAACAATTAGACCTCTATGTTTCTTCTTTAAGCACTGGTAGATGGATTTGGAGATTTGTGCATCTCCTCAGGATGATTTCAGGCATGTGAGGCCCCTCAGCCCTCTCCAAACAATGCGAGGCTCCAGCCTCCAATTCTCACCAGAGGCGCTTCTCTTTGCGCTGTCTTTTTTCACCTGCTTGGTTTTGGGTTTTGTTCAGTTTGAGTAATTTTTATTTCCCCAGCCTCGTTCTTACCAGCCCACCTGCCTGGGGGAGGTCAGCTGGGGGAAAGCCTTGGGAACGACCTGAAAAAGGTATTCTAGAGGTATTCTACAGGAAGAAATTTTGTACTTAGTAAGATTTTTTTCTCCTTTGTGAGGGATTGTGAAAAACGCCAATTGCTTGGTTTTTAAAATCTTAAAAATAATAAAATGGTTATAAAAATAATAATACAATTAGAGTAATAAAGTTTAGAGTTAGGACAATTACAAGACAATAAAAAGCAAAGAATTACGGACGTCCGGATGCTCTTGGACACTAAGTCACAAAAAGCATGCCTTGTGAACAAAGGAATCACCTTTAAACCAATACACTTGTTGCATACTCATACATCCTTTATGGTTATGCATACATTCTATTTAAAACAAGAAACTCTGTTGTGTGTCAGCTGTTTCCTTTGATCCCTATGGGATCTTTGAGCCTGAGCAAGGCTTGAAGAAATTAGCTTCTTCTGTTAAGAAACAATAAATTCCTCTGCTTTGGAAGATTTAGGTGTTCCTCTAAGCGAGTATCTCATTCCTAACAAAAAACCTTCCCCACAAAACTAGTCTCTATTTTAACATTATGCTAGAACCTAAAACTACATTTAACACACTACGTAAGACAATTAATACAGCATAACTGACATTGCACCTATAACATTCATTGTAACATTTGCGAAAAGCCCATCATAAAATATGCATTTTTCATATGAGGGTGGTGAGGCCCTGCACAGGTTGCCCAGACCAGCTGTGGCTGCCCCATCCCTGGAAGCATCCAAGGCCGGGCTGGACGGGGCTTGGAGCAACCCGAGACGGCGAAAAATGTCCCTGCCCTTGGCAGCGGTGACCGCACGACCATAAAGGTCACCTCCAAGCCGCCACTACCAAGGATCCCACAAACCCCAAAAAAGGAGCTGGGAACGAAGGGAAGGCGCCTCCGAGCAGGGGCCGCGACCCCTGCGCCCCGCCGGGCCCGAAGCGGCACAAGCGGCGGGCTCGGGGCGGCTGAGGCGGGCACGGCCCCGAGCGCGGCCCCGGCCCGGAGGGCGCGGCGGGGAGCGCCGCGGCCTTTGGGCGGCCCCAGCCGCGGGGGCGGCGATCCGCAGGGCCCCGGGGCTCACCCGGGCGTGCACGGTGCCCATGGCGGCGGCGGCAGCGGCGCGGCCTCGGCGGCTCCGGCGGGCTCGGGCGCTCAGGGCCGCGGCGCGGGGGCGGCCATGACAGCCGCGCCCGCCCCGCGCCCATTGGCCGGGCCGGCGGAACGGGCGGGGCCGGGAGCGGCAGCGGGGCTCGGCGACAGCGGGGGTCAGCCCGAAATCGGGGAATTCAGCCCGAAATCGGGGGTCAGCCCGAACACAGGGGGGTCAGCCCGAAATAGGGGGTCAGCCCGAAATAGGGGGTCAGCCCGAACACAGGGGGGTCAGCCCGAGATCGGGGAATTCAGCCCAAAATCGGGGGTCAGCCCGAACACAGGGGGGTCAGCCCGAAATAGGGGGGGTTCAGCCCAAAATCGGGGGCTCAGCCCGAACACAGGGGGTTCAGCCTAAAATCAGGGGGTTCAGCCCGAACACAGGGGGGTCAGCCCGAAATAGGGGGCTCAGCCCAAAATAGGGGGTCAGCCCGAACACAGGGGGGTCAGTGCAAAATCGGGGGGTTCAGCCCAAAATCAGGGAGTTCAGCCCAAAAGTGGGGGGCTCAGCCCGAACACAGGGGGTTCAGCCCAAAATCGGGGGCTCAGCCCAAAATCGGGGGCTCAGCCCAAAATCAGGGAATTCAGCCCAAAATCAGGGGGTTCAGCCCGAACACAGGGGGGTCAGCCCGAAATAGGGGGCTCAGCCCAAAATAGGGGGGTCAGCCCGAACACAGGGGGTTCAGCCCAAACTTGGGGAATTTAGCCCAAATTCGGTGGTTCAGCCCGAACACAGGGGGTTCATCCCAAAATCGGGGAATTCAGCCCAATTTCGGGGGGTCAGCCCGAACACAGGGGGTTCATCCCAAAATCGGGGAATTCAGCCCAAAATCGGGGGCTCAGCCCGAACATGGGTTCGTCCCAGACCCGGGGAATTCAGCCCAAACCCGGGGAATTCAGCTCAAATTCGGAGGTTCATCCCAAACCCGGGAGGTTCAGCCCAAACTCGGGAGGGTTAACCCAAACCCAAGGGGTTCATCCCAAATTCGGGGGTTCATCACAAACCCATGGGATTCACCCTGAACACAGGGGATTCATCCCAAACCCAAGCATTCATCCCAAACCCATGGGATTCACCCTGAACACAGGGGTTTATCCCAAACCCAGGGGTTCATCCCAAACCCGGGGAACTCATCCCAAACCCATGGGATTCACCCTGAAGACAGGGGTTTATCCCAGAGTCAGGGGTTCAGCCCAAACACAGGGGTCGATCCTGTGAAAAATGCATATTTTACGATGGGCTTTTCGCAAATGTTACAATGAATATTATATGTGTAATGTTAGAAAGTGCTGCTGTATTAATTCTCTCATGTAGTGTGTTAAATGTCATTTTAGGCTACAACATAATGTTAAAATAGAGATTATGTACGTGGGGGAAGTTTTTTTTAGGATTAGAGGAACACCCAAATCTCCCAAGAGAAGAGAAATTTATGGTTTTCTCATCAGAAGAAGCTAATTTCTTCAGGCCTTGCTCAGACTCAGAGACCCCATAGGGATTAAAGGAAACAGCTGACATACAACAGAGTTTCTTGTTTTAAATACAATGTATGCATAACCATAAAGGATATATGAATATGCAACAAGTGTATTGGTTTAAGGGTGATTCCTTTGTTCTCAAGGGACGCTTTCTGTGACAGTGTCCAAGAGCATCTGGACGTCCATAATTCTTTGCTTTTTATTGTCTTGTAATTGTCCTAACTCTAAACTTTATTACTCTAATTGTATTATTATCTTTATAACCATTTTATTATTAAACTTTTAAGATTTTAAAAACCAAGCAATTGGCGTTTTTCACAATCCCAAACCTGGGGGGTTCACCCTGAACACGGGTGCTTCATCCCAAACCCAGCAGATTTATCCCAAACACAGGGGGTTCACCCCAAACCCACGTGTTTGTTTTACCCCAAGCCCACTTGTGTCAGCCAAAACCGAGGGAATTCACCCCCAAACTGAGAGGATGTGCCCAAAACATAGGGAAATTCACCCCAAATGCACGTTTCATCCCAAACCCAAGGGATCCACCCCAAACTCGGAGACTCGGATTGGGCACTTGAAACTGAAAGCTTGTGTTGCAAATTACTTACAATTGTGATTATTATTATTACTATTATTTTACATTAAATTGTTATCGCTGGGTATTTCTGTACTTCATCTTCATGTCTGTATTAGGTATTTATAGACAATATAATTAATTATACTTTACTGATATATTTTATATTGGCTTTTAAATACCTATTAAATATAACATTTTAACATATCTATTATTCATATAACAAATTATTTAATAGGTTATTATTTTATTTATATTTAGTTATCTGCTAAGTTAGTTTTAGCTCAGACACAATGCACCCTTTGTTATCTCCTTTTACACTCAACTTTATCTCTTTTTCTATTATTTCTGTTTAAATGCAACAAGGTATTAATAAAATAACTGATTGCAGAAGACAAACAAAAACTCCCATTGAAACCAAAAAAGGACAAAAACCCACAAAACTTTAAACTGAGGTAGCATTCAGGTCCAGCTGCAGTGTGCATAAGCATCTCTTGAACTTCAGAGTAGTACTCTTAAAAAACACCTCAGAACCATCAATGACATCAACACATTCTGATTTAACTCACACAGGGGTGAACTCAAGAAAGCTCAGAGACCATGGTTACAGAAGAGATTGTGGTTTTATTTTAAAAAAGGAGACAAAATGGGAGCTGTGCCCAACAGAAAAAGTGGTTAAGGTTGATTTAAACGTAGTTAATAGAAGTATTCCAACAAAGACCAGAAGCAAAATTTGGCATTTTTGATTTAATTCTAAAAGAAACTGGCAAGCTATTGCAGGAAGACAATTTAAAATAGATATTGTATATTTTAATTGTAGTTAGAGTAACAATTCCAATATTTTTTTTGCAAGTCTGATGATATATACACCCAAGAAATGAACAGAAGAGTTGAAGTAAAGTAGCACCAGCCTTGTTGAGTACAGAAAGAGAGAGCTCAGCACTTCCTCCCCAACCTGAAATCTATTTGAATATTGTAAAATGCAGCACTGCAAGTTTAGAGAAATCACAGCTGAGAGACTGTTTGAAAGGCAGGCCCAATTCAAGTGCTACATTTTTCCCAAAGCTCACATTCCCATATCCCAGCTCCTGAGCATCACAATCCAACCCCTCTCCCTAGAGAAGAGGCCCTCAAGCAGCTCTTCCCTGGGTTGCACAGAATTCCCTTTCTTGAATGAGAATCTTCCCAGGGTCATATGCTCCCCCCAAACAAATGTGCAAATCAATTTTAAAGCCATTATTGTTTCCTTCTTCTTAAAAATTGTACAAGACCTGATAAGCCAAGAGAACAGTAATTAATCCTAACATCCACTAGGGCATTGTCTTTGTTAAATCATTCAGAACCTTTCTAGTGGAAATGTTTTAAGCTGCCAACTTCTCAATAGAGGTATGATTTGGCTAAATTTTCTACCTGTTATTTGAGATCTCTACAGAGCTCCCTGAATATTGATACTTCCACCAAGCCTCACACTTTTGCTGCACCTGACAATCTTGGGAAGCCTCCTTTGGGTTATCCTACCTCCCTGAGACAGGAGAGACACCTTTCTTTTTCTTCCTTTAGCAACAGGGAAGTGAAAGAAGGAAAGAAAAGTCTCTGAAACTGGAGGAGAACAAATAAAAAACCATCAGGCAACAATTAGAGAGACAACCTAAACATCATTCACCACTTGCTATACATGGGTTTTTGTTTACATCTTCTGTAAAGCTTAACACCTTCTCCATGCACTGCTTGCTACTAATTTGTCACAGTCATTATTTTACCTACTTTTCAATACTTGATCAAGTATTAAGCCTTTATGTTAAATTCCAAAAACAAATGTCTTCTGAAGCCACTGAAACTGCACTTGTTTACACTTCAGGGGAAGGTGCCCCATTTCTCATGTCATTTTCACCTGAAGTATTTCAGGAAGGAAAGAGACACAGAGGAAAGGTAACAGGAACTGCAGAGTACATACAACAACCTAGAATAATACTGTTCCTACAGTACCTTGTGCAGACAACTTTCCATTAACACAACAGTATGTTTAAATATAAGGCAAATGGACACTGGAGGCTACTAAGAAACTCACTTGTGTATTCCTCTTAAGGGAGTAAAAACCCAATTTCATTTAAGTGCTATCAAAGTAATTCTAACACATAATATTGTTAAGACTTACATTTAAAATAATGTTCTGTTATCTATGCTTGTTTGTCTAACAATCTGCTTACAGAATTTACATTTTTATTCTGCAAGTAATTTTAAAAAATATTTCTTTCCAGAGAGACACTGTTTAACCCCAAGTCTTACTACAGTTGATTGAGCTGGTGCTTCGACAGAGCTATAATCTGTTACTTAGTATAGCAGCCATGTTTTTATAATCCTTAAAACAATAAAAGTCCCAAGGCAGATTTGTCAGGAAGTTGTAAACAAGTAATTCCCCAAGACTTATTGGCAACAAACAAAGTGATCCCTTGTCTAAGTTTTAATTTTCTCTGCCACATTTCAATTTCGGAAACTGTGGAATCTACTTCCCTATTAATACTCTGGAGCAGTTTGGAAACTTGTCTCTGAGGAAGTGTCAACATCTATTTCCAACGCAGACTCATCAGGATTTGGGAGGAAATTAGGATAGGACTTTAGGTCAGCCTGCTCCTGGATGTCAGCAGGAGCATTTTTCATAGCTGAGTGCATGAAGCATGAAGATTCCCAGAGCCAGCTCTCAATGTGGGCAGCAGAGTGAGGCATTTTAAGGTGGCAGTATGAAGAACGAAATTCCACAGTAGATGGGACAGTTTGACATTTTCTTAGTGATCCATAGTTGTCTTTCCTGTTAAAAACAAAGAATGAAGGAAAAGGAGATTATTCATGCTTCAATGACATTTTTATCATGCTTACAAGTAGCAAATACAGTTGTTCACCTTCCCAAAGACCATTCTGCATTCCAGTTTACAATCAACTTGTTATCACCAACCTGAACAACTGGAACAGATCTTGTCTACACTCTAAGCCATCAC